GTCGCCCGCAGGGTGCCGACCCCCACGAAGCTGCGCGTGGAGCGCTGGGGCTTCAACTTCAGCGAGCTCCTCACTGACCCCCTGGGCCGGGCGCAGCTCCTCGACTTCCTCAAGAAGGAGTTCAGCGGTGAGCGGCCCCAGCCCCGCACCCCCTGACCCATTGCCCCGTCCCAGCACCCCCAAACTCATCGTCCCATCCTGGCACCCCCAGACTCACCAATCTGTCCCGGCACCCCCAGACTCACCAACCTGTCCCAGCACCCCCAGACCCACCACCATGTCCCAGTACCACCTAATCCACTGCCCCATCCCAGCAACACCAAACCCACTGCCCCATCCTGGCATCCCCTGACCCACTGCCCCGTCCTGGCACCCCCAAACCCACCACCACATCCCAGCACCTCTTGACCAGCCTATCCTGGCAGCCCCTGACCCACCACCACATCCTTGCATCCCTGGACCCACCACCCCACGTTGCACCAGCTGGCTCCATCCCAGGGGGTTTGGCCCCACAGTTGGCTGGGCCGTGGACCCAGCAGTGACGGCCTGGTCCCCGTCCCCAACACTGTGTCCCCCTCCCCAGCCGAGAACCTGAGCTTCTGGGAGGCGTGCGAGGAACTGCGCTACGGGGAGCAGTCCCGCATCCCCGAGATCGTGGACTCCATCTACCAGTGAGCGCCAGCGGGGCGAGGGTCTGGGGGGGGCCAGGCCATCACGGTGCTACGTCCCACTGTGGGGCTGGGCACTCACCACCGGCTGCGACTGCCCAGGCAGTTCCTGGCTCCCGGGGCCACGCGCTGGGTGAACATTGACAGCAAGACCATGGAGCGGACGCTGGAGGGCATCAAGACGCCCCACCGCTACGTGATGGATGACGCCCAGATGCACATCTACATGCTGATGAAAAAGGTGGGCGAGGGCAGGGCTGGGCAGGGCAGGGCACGGTTGGGCAGGAGCCTGATGCCTCTGCTCGCCCAGGACTCCTACCCACGGTTCCTCAAGTCGGAGCTCTACAGGAACCTCCTGGCCGAGGCCGTCATCCCTCCGGAGACCAAGAAGCGGTGAGGGCAGGGGCTGGATCCCCGCGGCCCTGGGGTGGTCCCCGCCGGCGCTGATCCCGCTCTGCCCACAGGGTCTTCCCCTTCATGCGCAAGCAGCGGCACTCCAGCCCCAGCCCGGCCCTGCTCCTGCCTGCGGGCGACGCCGAGGAGAGGAGCAGGGGCCCTGTGGCTGACCCCGT